GTTTCATTGTTTATAAATTCAGTTAGCTTTCTCATAATTTTAAATGCTGGGTGCAATTTCATGCTTAATTCAGTCTGTAACATTCTTTGAGCATCTAAATTCTTATACTCTCTCTATAATTAGATACTTGTTTTGAATAAAGAAGTGGACTGTTTGAATTTCTAAAATAAAATGATAAAAATTGTCCTGTTACTCACAGGCCTTCTTTACTCTCTCAGCAGCAAGATAACTGGTAGTAGTCCTTAACCCAACAAGATTACACCAAGCAGTATTTTGTGGTGGTATCTGTTAGTTACTTATTGTCATGTTGTAACATCATACCATCATAATCTAGGTCATATTTAAAACATATATCAGGATATAAAAAAACCCCTACTCCAATGTCTTCCGTGTGGTCTGTGGCAGTTTTTAATATACAAGCAGTTTGCTTTTATATAGTTGCACAGCGGTTGAAACATTGAGTTTCAAACTTTGTTTCAGTTTGGTGTACATTTGACTTTTCCCCCCCCCACCATGTGAAAACCATTTTCTATGGTTGGAAAGTATTAGTTATCCTTAGTGTGAACAAAACTTCCTTTGTTCTGTTTTTTTTATGGGTGCAAACTGGTATGCTCCAAACAATAAAGCTCTGTCATCAAAAATTAACCAGTGCTCCAGATTTCTGGTCTTGTCATGCTTTAAGCAGCAGCTCAAGACATTTAAGTGCAGGAGAGGGTTCTTCCTCTTCCAATCTGTTGTTTTTAGGAGAGAAAGACAGAGGCTTCACTGGGGTTTTGAATTAGCGTGTTCTTTCCTTGCAGCCTTCCATGTAGGTCTGGGGCTTGTGGTTTGATACCAGGCACTGGGAAAGCTGAAGTGTTCTATCAGATCAGCTTGGAGCCGTCATCTTGGATTCCCTCTTTCACAGAACAAGTACCTGAAGCTGCTTTTATGGCTTAATATTAAATTCTTGAAACCTGTTTGGAAATATTCTTGGCTTTTAGAATGGGAAAGAAAAACTTTTAAGAGCTTTGAAACCTGCCACAGGGACTCGCTACTTAGCTGGATCAAATCCAAAATGGCAGCCACAGCCTAGTTTCTTCACAGGTGCTTTTTGAAGAATTTAAAGCTCTGTTTTCAGTTCATGAAGTCTATTTATATTTTGTCTATGCTTATGAGACTGTGTAGCTCAAGGGACTGGTAATGGGATGTGGAGCCTTTTACTTTATACTTGCCAGCCCACATCTCACCCAAGCTGGCAGGGGCAAAGTTGTTAGCCATTTAGTGATGGGGCTGGGCTTGTGTTCACTGTGGTTCCTTGTCCCACTGTAGTTCCTGGTGGAATAAGTGTCCCATTCACAGAAGAAGATTGGTTGTCTATGTTGGTTGTCTCAAGAGTGAGATAAGGCTGGAACTGGCAGGAAGATCAGACTATATAATCTCTCTACCCTGATGATGGTGCTTTCAGTCAAAAATGATACATGTGGCCTCAGCAATGGTAATAAAGTTTTATGTTTTATATAGAGAAATGAAGGGCATTAGCATAAACCACAGTTAATTCAGGATTTTATAGGACTGCAAATAGCAGAAGCTTCTAGTGATAGTGTGTTTAAAAATTTAATTTTAAGTCAAAGAAAATCTTGGACTCTAAAGCCCTAATGCATTTTTCAATGCCAAGCAAACCAGAGGAACAACCAAGCTCTTACTATTCCATGGCATGCAACAAAGCCCAATGCCTTATGTGATTTCCTGGTACTATAAAGTAGTTTAAGAACATAAAACTTAACAGTTTTCTTAAGGGATTTTTTGTTTGTTTGTTTCATATGGAGCTGTGATTAAGTATTTGTGATTTAATCTGATCCATGTTGTAGTGTCATGTCAAGATTTTCTGTAAACTTTGTGGTGCTTCTTACTGAATTTGATGACTTTTTTTTTTTTTACAAATGAGATGCCAGTGATTGGGTGGGATCTTTTATCTTAATTACAAAAGCTGCAGTGAGGTATATCTTAAAATTTTCTCCTTTTTTTGAGTCAACAATGTATATTACTTACTAAGTACATGAGCCGTACAGGTGGCTGAAGCTACCTGACCTTTTGCTTGCTTTTTTTTCTCAGTTCTACACAGTTTGCCCTTTCTTGGAGAAAAAAAGTCCAGTCTGAGAGAAAAGGAAATGTCATGTTACAGTGTTATACATGACACTGGTCTCAAAAAAGGAGCTACTTACCGATAGTCTTTGTCACTGAACCTGTGGCTTGAGTTAGACCATTTAACCTTTCTTTGTGTCATTTCAAATAATGAATATTAATTACAAAAATAAAACCATTATATGCATGAAAAGAGCTGGACTGGGTTTTTCAAGTTAGGTGCTGAAGTATAAATAAAATTAATTTGTATTTAGATATTTTACGCTTAAAAAAAAATAATAATTAAATCTCAACTTTAAGCTCTACCAGATCTTGGCATCACAGGCTAAATAAACATGCTTTCTGGAGTTTAAGAGCTATATTTAAGAGCAGAAACTGAGTTGAGAAGGTTTGGCCTTCATAGTGTATCTTACTTTTGGGACTATAACTTTATTTGAAGTAGATTGGAGTTAGAGCTGATGTGCTGGCATAGTTAAAAAGTAGAAGGAGGTGACTGAATTGGGTTGGATTATTTTATGTGAATCACTTCTTCCATACTTTTGTTATGCTAGTTCTTTTCCCTCTTGTTTTCACTCATAGCCGTAGATGTGCATACACATGTGAAACAGCATTTTCATTATTTTGGGGAAAAAATCTTTAATTGCCAATAATAATAGTTCCAAAGCCTTATATTTTTCTTCTTCTCCATTTCCTCCTTTTCCCCTTTTCATAGAGCTGGTGTGTTCTGATGGATAGAAAATGTGCTGCTGTCTTCATCTCTTTTAATCTATTTCTTTCCCTTTCCTTAATTTTTCTCATTTTCTGCCTAGCTGTGCTCTCCTGTTTTTCCAAGCAAGTCTTTTTCTGGATGCAGATGTGGCCTATGTACTTTTTTTTCCACACTGTCCTCCAAACTCATGGTCTGTTAAAGACCATCAGCATTACTGAATTGATTTCTGATCATCATTCTTTTTTGCCTTGTGTAGAATCTTGTCAGCAAACTCTTCAGGGCAGAGGCCTCTAGCTGTCCTAGAGGGAGAGTTAAGTTGTTTTGCAAAAGCTAAAGTACCACAATGTTGTATGTTGTTCAGATGATGCTGCTAGCTGGAAGAGGAGAATCTGCTGTTATTGGAACATCTGCCTAATAAAATAAAAGCAGGGTAGACTAAGGGATTAATTCTCATATTGATTGCAGTTTTAAAACTGTTGTGTCCACCAGGAGTAATTCTGATTACAGCATTGACTGTACAGTTGATTCATACTCATGTGGAACCACTGGCTATCTGCAAGACTAACATGGTTAAGAATGTTACTTCACCAAGTTTGTGTAGCTTGGATGTTATTCCAGACATAATACAGCAGAGCAGTAGTTCACTATATTCTGTGTTTACTTACTGTTTACAGAATGATCAACTACCTCTAGTCGTACTACTGCTACCTGTCATAAATAGTGTTTTTAAAGTTATCTTATGGAAGACTTGTGCTTCAGTGGGGTAGGTTTTGTTCCGTCCACATTATCTAAAGCAGTAATAATAAATAATGAGGCTGGATGTTAAGGTTGGAAGTAAGCTAAGAGTCTGGAGTACTATACTTATGATTTCTTGGTTAAACAGTAGTAGTATTTTAACTTTTTGAACGTGTGATCTGAAATGCAGAAAGAAATGGGAACAACTATAAAATGACATTTCAAAAAGCTAACTTGGATTTATAGTTTATTGATTCATAAGAACCTTGTTCCAAATTGTGTTCACTTCTGATATTGTAAACTGCTTGTTTGGCGAAACTTTATGCCAACATGTTGGCTACGTTCTTTGTCTCATTACATCTGTTTTAAGTTGTTGGTTATTTGGAAATGAGCTTTATAATGTTTGCCATTTTCCTGAAGTTTGACGTTCCATATCGGATCCATTACCAGACAGTTAGGAAAATGCATTCTGACCATTTACAGGAAGTCTGGACATTCTTCTTAGCTGCTTCTGGTTTAATCTTTTCAAGATTGCCATTAGTGACAAACTTCGTTAGTTTGACCCCCTATTTTTAAACATAATTTTCACACCCGGGGAATATGGAATGTACCAATATACCAAATTCTCTGATCTTTTACTACGGATGTTTGCCACTCCTGATCATTGGTTAGGAGGTATTTTTCTTTGAAACCTGCACTGTGTAGAATAAATACTTGTGTTCCCCATTCCTTGAGTTTTTGTTAATTTTAGTCAGCAGTCAACTTTCGAGTCTTGTTTCTTTTAAAACATGTATGGCCACTAAGAATGGGTAGTGCTAGTATCTCATTCATGCTGTCTAGGGCACACATTTCTAGAGGCAGGCCTTCTTTGTTGCTTTAATTTGTATTATTCAAGACTTCTAAGATATATATATTGTCATTTAGAGAAACTGTGGATGGTTGGTTAGAAAAGCAATGTCTTACCAACTTACATTCTCACCTACCTTTTGTATAATATCATTCTACCTACTTTCTTACTTACTAAATATATGTATTTATAAGCATATCATCAATGTTTACAAATATGTAAGGGGTGAGTGTAAGGGAGATGGAGTTAGGCTTTTCTCAGTGATGACCAGTGATAAGACAAGGGGTAATGGGTGCAAATTGGAGCATAGGAGGTTCAAGGTGAATATGCGAAAAAAAAATTTTACTGTAGGAGTGACAGAGCCCTGGGACAGGCTGCCCAGGGAGGTTGTGGAGTCTCCTTCACTGGAGACATTCAAAACCCACCTGGATGCGTTCCTGTGTGATGTACTCTAGGTCACCTTGCTCTGGCAGGGGGGTTGGACTAGATGATCTTTCAAGGTCCCTTCCAACCCCTAGGATTCTATGATTCTATGATTCTATATGTATATAATTTTTAAATATTCATAATCCATATGTTTTGCAGATCAGTGGTGAAGCTCAGGAACTCTTTTCTGTCCGTCATGGTCCAGTTCGAGCTGCACGGATTTTGCCAGCTCCACAAATCAGTAAGCAGATATTTATATGGTTCATAATTAAACATAACTGTTTTTACAGATTTTTGTCTAAATCATGGCTATAACCTAACACGTAATTTTTCCATTCCTTTTCAACTGCCCCATTCATAATAGCTTTCTCCAAGTATTAGTACTTTTCCCCTCCTATCCTGTAATCCAGTGCTTTCTCCAGTGCTTTCTCCAGTTTCATATTAGGTTGCTTCGTTTTTATTTTAGAGAATATCTGTGTCTATCTGTGCTCAGAAATCAGTCGAGAAATGTTAACAATTTTACTTGGAAATATTTATTAACAATGTTTTATTGCTGTAGAATAATATTGAAATTACTTCGTAATAGCCAGGCAGTGGCTGATATTAGTAGCTCTAAAAATTATTAAAAACTCCTGTCACAGTGTGTTGTGAAGTCTTCTCATAATGTGATGCCCTTCTAAATTCTTAAACTGGTTAGAAGGAGGGTAGTATGTTGTGGGTTTTTTTTTTTTCTTACCCATTCAGGACCTGAAACTAAACCAAATGTAAGATAATGCAAGAAGTACTTGATCTAAGTGATCTGGTTTGTAGAAAGAGAAAATATCGCTTCCTGATAATTTAAATGTTTTATGTATGAATAAAATATCAAGTATTTTCTAAGCTCTGAATTTATCTAAAAAAAATCTACTGGCACATGCACAAAGTTTAACAGTTGCAACTTTCATGGTGTTGTTAAAATAGGCTGCTTTTCTAAAAGTCCCCAATAATGAGAACGTGGAATTTGTTTTTTGGGGTGGTCTGATTTGTTTCCCTTCTGCTTATTCTATGTCAAGTTTATTCAAGCAGGTTGACCTTTTTAGTGGCTAAACTTTTATCATGATCCCTTGAGCACCAAGAAGCACCTGCTCTCTTTTACTGCTTAAATGCTGTTTTATCAAGTTCTAAGGCAAGCTGCCTGGTTTGCTAAACAGGATTGGTTTGGAAATTCTGCATTAACTCCCTGGAGGAGGTTGCTGCAAAATTTAAGCAACCATGCATGAACAAGCAAATCCTTTTAAAAATGACACTGTGTTAAATCTAAACACAGTACCTGATTGTAGACCTCTTACAGGTCTAAGATCTGCTGGTGTCCTGGCACATTTTTGGTTTTGGCAACGTTTTTGTATCCACTCTCTCTGTAACTTCATCTGGGCAAGGTATTTCGTACAGCTGCTGAGTAGTATTTCTACTCTACATTGGTTGCCCTGTTTTACTTTGAGGCTGAAAAGGAAGTGCTTCTAGTATGACCAAGGTCTTTTGGGATTCTGCAGGATTACAGATTTTACTAGAAAATCATCAATTAAGTAGCTAACCAAAAATAGTAAATTATCATAATTTTGTGTGTCTCAAAGTAAATGAAGAAAGTGAAAGGCTTAATGGACAAGGCTTATATTGTGTCTGTGATTTCCTGAGCAGAGGGATATAAAGTATATCTAGATGTGGTTCTGTAACTCAGTTATAAGTTAAGGTAATTTAAAGCAAAATATTTCACAAACTTTTTGTGCCTTTAATTCTGTTTATGGGAACACTGTGTAATTTCAGATGAGTTATGTTTTTTTGCTGTTATGTGTTTGATTAAGTAATGGGTGTCTGTGCCTCTTCCTCCCTCAAAAGAAAAAAAGAGGAGAAAGAGAAGTACAAATGAAGTAAATTAATTGAAGAACCTACAAGTTCTATTTTAGGAAAAGAAGGCTTTTTGATTTTTCAGTCTAAGTTAAACTCTTATGAACTCCTTCAAACTTTTTCTATCTCTAAATTGCACATATTTAGCATCTGACAATGATAGTTGTTACATTAGAAAACTGTTCAAATTAGCTCATATTAAATTAAGTCAAGCCTTTTAAAAACATGTTTTGGTCTCTTTTTACATGGCTTGGTTTGAATAAATCTTTGATTAAAAGTACATGAATGTATCATTGACCAGTATCTGAAATCAGATAAAAGTAAAGCTGTAATAAGAGGCCTTAGATAACTAACACATGAGCTTTAATGATTCTGAACAAAATAAAAAGAGTTTGTAAAGGAGAAGCTGATTACCATCAGTAGGCTCAAACACTATTTTACTGTAAAGCTGTAAAAAGGGAATTATTGAAAATAGGACTCTCTTGGTGGATGGATTTGGCACGTTCCTAGAAGCAGATCTTCATTTGTGATAAGAAGCTCATTCCCAGGTGTGAAAGGAAAGCTCATAGTTTTAACTTGGTGACTTTACAGTAGCAGAACTTAATAGTTTGTCAACTATTTTGTTAAAATACTGAAGTCCTTTGATGTTAGATCCTCTGCTGCATCATGTGCTTCCCGGCATAATAAAGCATTGTTTCAAAAGAGTTATTTCATACAGGCTTATTTCATGCAGGCTTATTGCAAAGGAGACCCCGTCAAATCTGATTTAGCAGGTTATAAGTGCTCCTAGTAGCAGGACCATGCTGCAGGATCTGGAGCTGGCCTTGCACGTTGCCAGCTGGGATCCGGTGGGGTTTATTAGCTCAGGCTCTGTGCCATGCTAGAGCAGTTAAATGGCTCCTGGAACTGTTCTGACCTGGCAGCTACACTGAAGCCTTCGTGCAGGGTTTTGTCTGAGCTAACAAACCAGGCAAGACCTGACCTGGCCCAGCACTGCCATGCTTTGATGTCTCAGTGTCCATGGCATGGTTGGCCTGCAGCCTGCTTAAGGTGTCCATAAAGACTTGAGTGATTTCTGTAAATAACACTGAAAAAGTAGACATGTGCTGCTCTTCTGTGGACAGCGAATATCTCCTGTTGCCATCAATTATTTTTAACAGCTTGCAATATAAATTGCCTATTTGAAGGCCTAAGGTTTGCACTGTGACCAAATTTCAAGCTTAAGAGAAGAGATAATGTTGCATAGCTAATATGCAGAATATGAGAGCATCTCTGGCTGGATGCTGTCAGTCTTAGAAATAAGAATCCTAAGTCCTGGCACTTTGCGTGCCACATGCTGCATTATCTGCTGAGCCATCTGGTTGGCACAGCTTTTTAACTCACCCAGCTCTTCACTTTCAAATCCTTCTGCTGTGATTGAGTTTAGTACTTATATGTATACAAGTGCCTGGTTTGCTGGGTTCTGGATTTCTCTTTAGATAACACAAGCATGCAAAAGAAAAAAAAAAAAGAAAAAGCTGTGTTTGGAGGCAAATTTATGTCACTTTGTGATTATTAGGAGAGAGAAATGCAAGGATCACGGCTTTTCCTTTCCAAAACACAAGCATGCAAAAGAAAAAAAAAAAAGAAAAAGCTGTGTTTGGAGGCAAATTTATGTCACTTTGTGATTATTAGGAGAGAGAAAACATTAAGTGGTAGATACAAGACAAAGCTGGAACCTTGCAGTTAAATTTAGCTACAGGAATAGCATTATGTGTGGTAGTTCATGGTTAAAGGGTACATGATGACAGGCTTGTGTGTTGAAGCTGAGATCAGTTATTGTCTGTAAAGCCTATTTCCATGTCTCAGTGTTATGAAAATAAATTCCTCCAGTGAACTGAATTAATTTATTGCCATTTTCTAGATTATACTTGCAGAAAGGATGATGTAATAATTCTGTATCTCTTAATGAATTTGACTGCGTAGTGGAATAGACTGATTTAAAAAAAAAGGCAAATAAGAAAGGAAATTAAAGAAACAAATCTGAGGTACTATTTAAAAAAAAACCCTGATGAACCAAGGGGACCTTATGGATGAAGGATTGAAAACTAAAATTAACATGAAAAGCTAAAATTAATTGGGAAAAAGTAGTTCTGCATTTGAAAATTAAAACTGTAAAAAGCTTACCTGTTGCAGCAGATGATCTATCTCTACTGCTTAGATCTTTGATTTTGGTAAAATAAAATGTGAACCTCCTAAGCTGACTCAGCTTTATATGCAGGTATACTTAAAAGAAATATAATATGTTGCTTTCTAAAGAAAGGCAGATGTGAGTTTTGTATATATTCAACCACTTGGGTGGCTCAGTGGTTTTAAGTTCCTGAAGGCCAGAATAATTGCAGGAGATGTGTAGATGAGGAACTAGCCCTGCAAGCTGAACAAGCAGTAGCAGTTGGTAGCTAGGATCGGATTGGTGTAAGTGGGTCATGCAGGTGTGCATTTAAGTTCTGGTGTTTTGTAAGTGTTCTGTGGGTTGTTATGGTACAAAGAATGTGTGTGGATTACAGAAATGACAGAAGAGAATTCTCAGTGTAGCACGTAGGCCTTTTATAGATATTATAGGGAAGAATTTTGGAAAGCGACATTTTAAAATACTTGTTTCTTTGAAGCTGTGTGGACTGATCTGTGTGCCACCACTTCAGTTCTGGCCACCTTACATCAATGCCTTAGATCTAGACCTTAAACTTTCACCATATTAGACTGATCTGTCTGAAGTTTTTCAAACAAGATGGACTAAAAATAAACTATTTGTCTGGCTTCAATTAACGTGTGACTCTAGAAACCCTGATGTCTAGCAAAATATTTCAAGGTAACTTTTTTCTTTTCATATAGAAGCTACAGAGTTATCAGTTGTGGTGCTGAGCAGAAGAAAAGGCACCTTTCTATAAACATGTGTAGCTCTGAACTGCCAAGATAATGTTCTCCAGGCACTGTTGCCTCATGCAATGTTGCTGTCTTTTCTCAGAAATGGGAGGGAGGAGTGGGCTGAGAAGGTAGTAGATATGGAAATCATCTGAAGCTGGAGGGGTTTTAGGATGATAACTTTTGGGAGATGTAAGGTATGACAATGCAGGTATTGGAGAGGGACTTTGAAGCTTGAAACATCTGGGCAATGCTGGGAGTTAAGTGAGATAAAAAATACGATGCTTGTGGTCTGGAACATTAATCCTATAGGAGCACCTGAAGGTCTGGGATGAGGACCAATGATCAGGCATGGTATTGAGTAATGCAGTTAGAGCTTTATCTCTGCAGGAAAAGGAGCATTTATAGATGCTACCCTGAAGCTGAGGAAGGAATTAATACACTAATTTTTAGGACTGACTCAAGCCTCTTTACTTCTGTTTCAAGTAGCACACATGGTTTTTTACATTTTTGTTCCTCAAGAAAGCAGACACAAAATGGTAGGGATTAAGCAATGTTAGTAATTTATTTATTTTTTCCTCTTTTTCCAAGTAAGGAAGAAGCACAATAGGAAGTGAAAATCATATGGTGTGAGTGGCCTAATGTGTTTCCAGTTTGGCTACTACAGAAAGCTGGGGCTGGACCACAGATGCAACACAATTTTCAACTAACAGATAGAAATAAGAGGGGTTTCGTTGAGCAGGAGATGCAGTGCAGTATTAAATGGCTGTGATGTAACTTGGTCAGCATATAGTCCATTGTGCATGTATGCTATTGTAAATAGGTCAGAATTTGACATATATACAGTGCATTTCTTACTCCAGGGAAATGAGGTACTTGTCATAGTTGTGGGTAGCTTTTGAGTTCCTGTGAAAATCACTGGAGCTTCATTTTTATTCTTGAAAAAGGTGTGCTGCTGCTGCAGGTTTTGCTTCTATGATTATTGGCATTATTGAGAGGCCTTAGTAGGGCCACACGATATCTATTCACAGTTCCATCAGAATTACAGTACATAAGCTGCTTTGAGCTTATGTGTGGATAACCTTTTGACTTCATAATGTTCTAAATGTTGATTTGTATGAAATTTCATTTAGCCACAGATATTTTTTTTCCTGTTTTAAGTATTCTAACTGAAGTTAGATAGGTTTTTGGGTTTTTTTAATAAAGCATATATCATTTAGCTAAATTGAGCTGTAGATAAGGTGCTGCCTTGTTGGCAGGAGGGACAGATTTCATTACTTTAATTGTGTGATTTGTCAGGATTTTCAGCCTCTTTATAAATTCTGTAGTGTTATATGACAGAATTAAAAGGATTTAGAATAAAAGGAGTTTAAGGAAAAGACTTTGCAACAGGATTTCAATACTTTTTTGTATTTGAGGGATTTAGCTAGCTGTTTTTCATTTCCATCATCCTGCTGCATTTTGTTAAACACTGTGTGTGGAGCAGGTGTGTGCAACGTCAGTACATCGCACATGCAAATAAACACAATTTTACAAATAAAAATTAATCCACTATAACCTGGAATATTAAATCCCACTACAGGACTAGAAAGGGTTCCTGCCTGCATTAAGCACTGCAGAGAACAGCACATGTTGCTTTTTGCAATCTCTTGAATGGGACTATTAACCTGATTTAATGCTTTGCAGAGTCCTCAAACTAATGAGCCTTTTCTACAGTATTAATATTTACATCCTGAAAGTGTATTTTTGAAGTAGAAAATGGATTATTATTATTTTTTTTAAATGAAGGCTTCAGACATTACAGACTGAAATCAGAAGTTCAAGCACCTATTGTACAAATTTTGTAAATCTGTATTGTGGGTACTAAAAATTGGTTTTCCTTTTGGTTTTGTGCAGTTGTTTCCCTGTACTCCTCATCACTTTTCTTCCCCTTGCTCCCCCTTCTTTGTTGTTAACCTTGTAAGTAGAGCATGAAGAAACTTAGGAATTCATATCTTTAATATATCTGAGGTTTTTTAAGAAAAAGAATAGTTAAATACTTAGGGTAAAATCCTGGCTCCACTTAAATCGGTGTCAGAACTCGTGGTAGTCAGCACTTCACCCTGCACTGAGAGACCAGCTAAGTGAGCAGAAACAAATGGAGTTCCTCTGTTACTTGTATTGAGGAAGACAAATTGGTTGCCAGATTCTTAAGACTATATGTTTCATTTATCAATTTACAGGTCAGTACATACAGTACAGGTATGACTCATAAAAGCTCTTGAATAATAGGAATAAAAGGAAAATACATTTAGCTGTTTTAGGAGACTTTTAAAGCTATTGTTGATGGTGAAATTATTGACGTGACCCATTTGACTTAATAAATACCCAAATGTGTAGGAGGGAAGACTTATCCTTGTACAGATGAGAGTACTGAACAGTTTTTGTTACAAATTAATTGCATGTGCCTGAGTTATTAATAATTAACAGAGTCTGTTATGTGAAAATGTATATTGTTAATTGTTGTGCCTTTCTGAATAATTGATTTAGTGCAGTACACCAGTATTTGTGAATTCAGTTTTGAACAGACTATATCACTAATATTCTTTATAGATCAAAGGGGTTGCTGTATAATGGAGAAAAAGAACTATTCCATTATTCACTACACACATCCATACATATAGATAGATAATTAAAAAGGCAAAACTTGAAAGAAAACAGGAAATTCAGTAGTGGTGTTGGTGTTGGTTGTTCTGCTATAGAAACACACCCTAGAATTTAATAAAACGTTCACAAATAGAAGGGAGGTATTTGAATTTTTCTCCTTTTTTTCTGTTAACATGGTAATGAGTCAAAGTTTTCAGCATTTTTAAGATCCCATTTTAAGAAGTGGCACCCAGCTCGTGACATGCTGAGGAGAGTGGCTGCTCTTGGGCTGCTCCCACCGTTCACTCTTATGCTGCCTTTCAACCTCGGCAGGACAAATTGGAACCCAGTGTGTGAAACCCCCTCAGAGCTGGTGACAGCCTAATTACAGACAACTTCTATAAAACAATGAGAAGTGGGCAAGTCTTACCTGTTACAGTTACAGAATCCTTAACCCCAACTGAAGCAAATAGAAAGTCACTCAAAAATCCTGGCTAGGTTTTGCTACTTGTGTTGTCACTCATTGCCATCTCCTTCAATCAGTGTTCATGACTCTGCTGTTACTTTGAGTTTCTATCACTCGTACAGGCTGTGAATATTGTGTTATATATTCAATATCCTTCTACTGGGCCCCCACGAGGTGCACACCTGCCCTTTGAAGGGTAACACAAACAGTACATAGTGATTTGCTTTTTCTGTTTTCCCTCTTATTAGGTGCTCAGAAATGTGATAACTTTTCTGAGAAGCGGCCTCTTCTTGGCGTGTGCAAAAGCATTGGATCTTCTGGGTAAGAATATTTTTTGTGACTGAAGTCTTTTCTGTAATTGCAATGTCATCTAAAAAACCCAGTAGATCACATCTTTAAATAAAGCTCTGACTTTTTGCTCATGGGATAACACTGTGAAGTGCTTGGAAAGTTTTTTTTTTTTCAGTGTGTCAGTAACCGTTTGCCTGTGACTTATCTTTTAAAAAGTAATTTAAAAAAAAGAGACTGTAGATATAAAGCAGATAATATCAGAAATATCAAGAAGTGTCTAAAACAGTTTGTGTTTTAAAAAGTAATTACAAGTTGCTTTCAAGCAGCAGTTGTGTACCATGAATTACAAGCACAAAGCAGGTTCATTGTTACAGCCATTCACTGTTAGCAAAATACACGTTGAATCTATGTATTTGACTTAAAAAAACAAACTAACAGTCTTGTGATCTCTGGACAGTACTGTTGTATCACTCTTTTTATAAAAGAGGACCTTTAGATGTTTGTTTGTTTGGTGTGTTGATTCAGACAGTGCAAAGGATTTATATCTGTACCTACTGGAAAATATTTGCTTTTCAAGGGTGATCCTCTAGACAGCAATTCAAAGGTTAACCAGTTGGAGTAAATCTGCTTACAGTAGTAGGACTAATTCCATGCCACACCTTTTTCAATTAAGAATTTAATCACTCTAGGTGTGGAGGAAGACTATCAAGCCTCTGTATTTTTTTTTTTTTTGTGTGTGTGTATTATTACTCAGTTAAACTAGAATATTAATGTTGCCTGTCTTAAGTGGTTAAAGCAAAACCCATGTAGGATAGAGAAGTGAAATGTATTTCTATTAATATGTTTACAACTTACAAAATTGTTTATAGCACTTCTCCTTTCTGCTTCCGTAATCTTTTGGCTAACTTTTTCTAAATAAGAGTGCATAATCATATAATAAAGAATACATAAATATAATAAAACAGTAACTGGTGATGAAAATACTGCTCTTGTAGGAGTTTCTGGCTTAATCCAAACGGTGTGTTTATAAACGTAAAGGAATTGTGGGATGGATGGAGGGTGAAGAATAAATACATTTTAAACCTGACTTGATATAACCTTCAGTAGGTCATTAACTCTTCATTACAGTTTAGGAGTAGCTGGAAATTATCACATGCTATTCTTGACCTAAAGAGAAATATATATGTTAAAGTGTCCTGGTTTGAGCTAGGATGAAGCCAATTTTCCTTTTACTGATTTTTTTTGAAGAGCTTTTAAAAGAGATTTTACTAAAGAGTTATTAAAACTGTGCATACACAGTTTTGCATGCAGATGAGCAATCACACTTAGAAATTATTTAAGTTTTTTTATTTTTATGGACTCATGTACATAGATTCAAATGCATAAAAATCTTTGGGAAATTTAAATTCAGCATGTATGAAAAATCACATGAAGTTTTAAGTGTTCAAGATGATAAACCATTAAAGTAATAGAAATCTGATAGAATATAGTTTAGATCCAATGCACTGGCATTTAATAGTGTTTTATCTTTTAGGACTATATCAATGAGATACTGACATGTTCAAGTTAGGAGCTGGGATTTCCTGGTTCTGACCACTAGTTTGCATTAGTGGTTACCAGCAGGAAATTCTTCTCTTTTCCTCTAGCTGTTAAGTATACTATAATGAGGGAAATATGATAAAAAGGCATTCTTTTTTAATGTAGAGCACTTGTCAATCTAGAATCCAAAGAATTTTCAAGGAATAATGAATTAATAGCTTAAAAAATATCACACATGTTAAATAACGTCAGTGTTTTCACTATCCCTCTAATGTACCATGAACTTTCATGGAAAGAAATACATGAAAAATTCTGTTGGTGATGCTGTGCTAGGACTTTTCCTTCATTATGAAACGACAGGTATGAAAGTACCTTATGCAAAATAATATTTATCTAAAAACAGTTTTTAGATTTGTTTCACTCTTGACAATTTTTTAAATATGATTTACACAGTGAATGATCTCTCTTGTAACATAAAAATACAGTAGTTTGCCCCTGAGATTCCCTGATGTTTTACAGAATTATAGGTCTTTGACAAGTCTAAAAATACCTTGTTAACTTTCAGTCTATCTCCGAAAGATTTACAGTACATTAACTTAGAAATCAACTTCTGGATAACTTAGCATGTGGGTTGCATCTCTTTTGTAATATAACCTAATTCAGTAGTTGGATTTTATAATGATAAAACTTACATTCCTTTGAAAATCAGTTTTAAGATCTTAATCTTCAGTTTAGTGTTTCATAATTTTATTTCCTAATTTCTTTGAGAGTTGTGTTTGAGAACCTACTATAAAATTTATTTTAGTGTATCTGATTTCAAACTGCAAAGTTCAAAATTTTAATTTCTGGCACCTGCTTCACATAAAAGTTCTGTAGAGAGAGATTTGACACTAATCTCAATCCTTGTATTCCCCACAATAAATCATTTACTGAGGAAGATGAAACTTGTGTTTTCTAAACTTTTGCCTTTTGTCTGAGTTTCAAACCAGCTTTTGGTGCACACACATTTTTGTATTTTAAAAGTCCAATTTTCCATCTAGTAAAATGACTGAAATGTCTAGCATGGTTTTACTATATAATCTTCTGAAAACAATAGTTTTCTCAGCCCCAAAAAGGATGCAGTCTTGTGACACATAAATGGGAAACAGATTGTGGTTTTTGGCTGATGCTACAGTGCTGGTTTAGATGTTGGTTCAGTCCACTTCAGTCTTAGATTACAAGATTCGCAAATAAAAGGAAACCAAAAAGGAAAGAACATCTACAGAAATTTTATTTTTGGGCAGTTTTGTAAAGGCATGCTTACTTTGTTCTTGGTGGTAAGGCTCTAAAAAAAAAATAATGCTCTGATTTTATTAATCATAGGGATTATTTCAGTCACCTGCAAAACTGCAAGGTGCTATTTATCTTCCGTAGTCATGTATGATAAGCAGGTAAGTATAGGAGTGTAGCTAATTGAAAGATCACTTACCCAAGATAAAAAAGTAAGAGTTTGAGGCCAGTAGATTTACCAACTTTCCACATTATGGAACAAAAAGAACCTCAATGAGTAACCTACACAGCCAGCCTGTAGCATGTGTTAGGTTTCTAGCATATATTTTTAGAAAGACACGTTACTTTAATGATATCAAGTGATGGAAAATTTTGGTTGACTTTAAGAATTGGATGGAGGTCATTTAAGGGCATGAGAAGCAAGAGGTAGTCTTTTTTTAATCATGGGAGGAGAAAGGAAATAAGGGCACGTTAAGGAAGGAGGAGTAGTTGGAGCAAACAAAATGTATAACTTTGGATAGCCAGCATTTTTCCCCCCCCGGTGATCAGTTTACAAAGCAAATCAATTGGCAGCAGATTTTCAGGAAGCGTGCTTTATTGACATGGCTACTGCAGATTAAATCCTACTAACCTTAACACAAGTTTAACTCAGGAATGTGTTAATAGGTGTGTTAAGGTTTAGGTAGAAAGCAGCTTTATGTGAGTAAGAATAGAAACAAAGATTTAATATTTCTCTCACGTTAATATTCTTAAAATCACATGACCCCACTCATTATCTGGCAAAGTAACCAGTTAATGCTAAAATCCAGTGTCCAGTTCTAAGTGTCTGTGGCTTTTAGTGTTTAAAATTAGCTAGCTGTGAAATGATCTGTCAGAGACAGACAGCAAAGCTCTCTGGAAGGATCACCCAAGAGAAGGAAATCAGCTATGATGAATGAAGTTCTTGTTCATGGTTCTCACACTGTTTGGAGTAACTTTCCTTGGGATATTTTTACTGGAATGCCATTGCAAAAGCAGTGGTTATGCTGCGGACTCACCTAGCTATGCCAGGTACTGAATCATCCAGTTGGGTGTGTAAAGGGTGTAGCCACTCAAATACAACCTTTTTTTTTCCTTTTTTTTTTTTTTTCAAATTGCACATACAAATGGGTTGGACAGATGGTTCGAATTTTCAATAGTGTTTGATACCATGAAATAGATTTCGTTGTTAAGTATTTGTGGTCTATTATTGAAGAGTATGCAAATTTTGGTGACATATTTTATCCCAGATCTGATTTTTTTTTTGAAGACTGTCAAGGATGTATAAGCTTCAATTTCCAGAAAGCAACCTTAATTCAATGGATTTTGCTCTAAATATTATAGTAGAACTTTGTAAGTTGGGTAAAGTGCTCTCATTTGTATTGTCTTGGAGGCATTGAGTCCCAAAGGCTCTTGGACTGTTAAAAAACTGTAAAGTATCATTAACTGCAAAGTGTGCCTTCCTATCAGCTGCCTCACAAAGATTTCCTTCCGTTGTAGCACATGAAAAACATTATCTTCTCTGGTTATTGTAGGAAAAATCAGTTTAATCTCAACAGGTTGTGTGGGAGCTTTTAAGATCCTGAGAGATGCAACCTCTCAGTAAAGTACTTTAAATTCCTTTTAGTGATGTTAGATTTGATTGTAATATTCTGTGCTAAGTACAGCAGTCTTCTTCATTTTAAAAAGAGCTCTTCAGATCCCCAAATTTTTTCTTGTCACTTGTTTCTATAGTAGTTATATTTATGTATTTCAGCTATTTTTGCAGTGTTTAAGTTATGTTCACTAGTAATTCTGTGAATTTTTTGCACAAATTAACATGATGGGAGATGAAGCTTTAATAGAGTAAGGAAGTGTTTCCTATTGCAAATACTGAGGGTAGGAAAGATCTGGTGTTGTTCTGATACACCCAATGTTTGTCTGAGTGAACTGTCCTAAGAAATAACCTTTGAACTGTAATAAACTGTTAATCTTGGATCAAAACTGGAAGGAAGAAAATGAGGATTCGGGGTCAAACTTTGACCAGTTGGTGAGAACTAGGGGTAGTTTTGACCTTCTAAAGCTTTGATTTATGAAGCTGTAAAAAGATAAACCTTTCCTAAGTGATCCTCGGGATAGCGCGGAGCTTGGGAGAGCAGCTTTCCGAGCTGAGGCAGTTTCGCTTTACTGCTGCTCTAACCCCCCGTGCATGTAATGATACAAGG